CGGCCGCCCCCCCGCACCTTTCGGATGCGCCGCTTGATGATGGACTCGGCGGCGAAGACGCGCTCCCCCACTGCAGACAGCTCCATCTTGTGCGCCTCGGCGGCGGCGCCCGCAGCCCATAATAATCCCGCGCGCCCCGCCCCGCCCCGCCCCCCTGCCGGCTCGCGCGCGCCCGCGCCCGCGCCCGCGCGTGACCCTCTCTCCCCCCCCTCCCCTTCCTCAATATGGTGGGGGGGGAAGGCCCTTAAAGGGGCCGCAGCAAAGCGGGAGCGGGGCTCGGCTGGAAAAGTGCGCGTAGCCTTCGGAGATTCGCTCATTTAAGCGTTCATTAACGCGTAAGGCATCAGTGTACTTAGCGCCCGTCCGAGAGCCGGGCTGTGAGCGCCCCCGAGCAGATACTGCATTTATACTGCATTTTGACACTGACACCTCTGCAGCGAGACTTCCCAGCTGCAAGGCTGAACCCTGCAAGACGTGCCTCCTCCTGCAGCAGCCGCGGCCCAAGCAATAGCCTGCACCACCCCTCCAGCCTAAGCGGTACCCACGGTATCCCTAGAGCTTCCCTATGAGTTCCACAAGCAGGCCCAGGCTGCAGCAGCACCCCCAAGATTTCCAGCATCCCTCCTTTCAAAGCCACTTCCTTGAGGAGCATGCCCTGCTCTCAGGCATCCCCTGGGTTACCCTGCATGGGCCTGAGAGGCGGCACAGCAACAGATTATTTAAAAAAAAAAAAAAAAAAAAAAAAAGCCGTCCAGATCAACCTTTAATCCAGCCAGCACATACATGTGGAAGGACAAGCATTGGGCACAGAGTGCCAGCCAGCCGCTGCAGCGTTGGCAGGGGTAGGAAGGAAGTCTCTGGAGCAGGCTTTCCCGTAATGCTGCACTGCAGCTTCTTACTCCTTCACCTGATTCCCAAGCTGCTGCCAGCAAAACAAGCGGCTGGCTGCAGGCCTGCACCCATGCCAGCGGTCAGGCCAGCCCCACCAGCTCAGCTCAGGCATGCTGGATGCACTTTGTTAATGTGGGCAAAGCCAGCTGACTGGCATGACTGGCTCACTCCAAGCTACCTGGAACAAATCCAGGGCCCAACTCCACCTCACCAACCGAGAACTGCTGGGCTCTTGGAGAGCTCCCTGAAAGCCCCACGGGCCAACAAACTCAAGGCCATCCCGTCAGCAACAAGAGCAGCAGCCCAGGCTGTGCCGTTCCCAGGAGATGTGGGATGCAGGTGATGGCCATGCTCTCCTCCAGCTGCTGTTGGCAGACCTAATGAACCCAGAGCAGCAGCCATCCTGTGAGTAGCACTCTCCTTCTCCAACTCAGATCCATCAAAGACCAGCTGTCCCAGGTCACCCCTGTATACCTCTAACTTACCCAGTGGTTAAAAATTAATAAAAACCTAGCCTCCTTGAATTGAAGTAATGAATAATGCCAGAAACAGCATTTTGCACGCTCTGTACTTCACAAACCTTTTTTTTTTTTTACTGGTCGTTCTCACGCACGCATGGGCCTTTTTTCATTCTTTTTCCAACCACGCTGCATGTTTATACCAACAGGAGCAACTAAGGGGAAATAATTCAGCCGTTAAATTAAAGGAAAAGGAGGTAAATAACCACACAGACAGACCATTAGGTAAATGTCAGTTTTCATATTTAATATTTTCATAATTTTGTTTGCAACATTTACCACATAAATCATCTAAATAAATAGATGCTGTACAGTCTCTTATCCGTATCAGTACAAAAATAAAACCACACTTTGTGTCAAATTATACTTGAGCCTGCCCTCCCATTACCATTACAACCTCTGCTTACGGCTCACGCTCGCTCAGACAAGGCATTATACTCTGATTGGTTCATGTGGAATTGGTTTACGGCCTTTTCCCTCCCCCCCCAGCCCCCCCCAATACATTCAATTAGTCTGTACAAAAGCTAGAAGCTCATTCTGTGCAAAAGAAAGCTTTCTGTGTGCAAAGACTCTCATACTCTAGCGTGCTGACAGAAACAACAGCTGAAGAGACATGAACAAGAACCAGGGACCCTCTTCTCCCAGGAGACCCCATCTTCTGCCCCCTAAGCAGAAGGGAAGCAGATCACATTAGATGAGTCAGTGTGCAAAGAGTCCAAATGGTGTGTCTAAGCTAAGGGGAAGGTTGGAGCCAAAGACCCCAGGAGAGAACTAAGGTTCCTTTGACTGTAGAGCTTGCTAGGCAAGAAAGAAGAGCCTCTCATCATAGCCTGCTCAAAAGGCTCTTCAGATATGCAGAATAAAAGCTTCATTTGGATGAATTTAGTTATTTGGTTGCTGGTATGCTGGAGATAAGGTGAGGAAACAGCCTCCAGAAAAATCCAGCATTTACTGAAGACTGCTTCTGGCTCACCCCTTCTTCCTCTCCACGCCCCCTACAAGAGGACAGGTGCCTCCCATTCCTCAACCAGACTCATAAGGTGCAATTCTTCAGGCCAGATATAAAGATATCTCCAGAGCTAAAAGATGCAGTCAGTTCCAGACTAGGACCACTGCAACTGAACTTCCTCCTCTTCTTCCTTTTCTCAGATAAAGGAGACGGTGGGGAGGAATCATCCCCATCTAGGGTATGTTAGGAACCCTGTGAGCCTCCCCTCCCCCCTAGGTTAGCCTCTTCCACTCAGCAGGGCTGAGGGAACTCCCCCCCTCACTCGTGGGAGGGAGGCAAAGGGCTGGGTGGGAGCTCTGGAAAAATAATAAGGGACAGCTAGCGACCTGAAATAGATACATCTTTTCAAATGCTTTTAAAATGCTTTTCAAATGCCACTTTCAGGCAGACGACAAGGAGTACTTTGCACTCCTAGTGCTTTGCATTTTCAAAGTGCTTCAAAACATGCTTCAGACTAAAAGCAAAAAGAAAAAAGCTGCTTAACGTCTTGACAGACTTGCAAAGAGCTTCTTTGTGCTGACACTACGTTTTCTGGTTAAAAATAAAATAAAACCAAGTCTTTCCACTTCCTCTGAAATCCCCCTCCCAGTCAAAACTGCTATCCCAGTAACGAGATAAGCTGATAGAGGTTCTGAACACTCTTATAAGCTCTCCCCTTCAACATCCAATTGGTGCTCTCAGACATCACCAGGGTGTGTTTCAGAAGAACGCCTGAAGGGTTTGCAGCGTGTCCCACAGCAAACAGAAACAGTTCCAGCAGCAAAGTTTCTACCCATAGCCTCTTGGTAGGCATCCTTCTTGGCCTAATAGCCATTACAAACTCCCCTGAGCTTCGATCCTCTGCACACATCCCCATTAGCTGGGGATCACTCCCTGATAAGCCATCATACTTTAAGAACTTAAGGGTACAAGGGAAGAGAGCTGGAAGATGAAAGAGAAGGATTACCACTTCAGAAAGTAGCTGTTGCAGGAAAGTATTTGAGAAGTCTGAGTTCCATTCTAAGTGACTGTGTCTCTCTTCAACAGTTTCACAGGTGTTCCCAGCTGCTTGGTTGGAACACGGGTGGTTCAACACCCAGAAGGTTCATGATGTCTCTGCAAAGACAGCTCCACAGCAGTCAGACCTCTTCATCAGAACCTGTTGTCTCAAGATCAAGTTTACTATACCCTTGGGGACAATTATTTTGAAAACAGTGAAGAGACATGCTCCCTTCACTTGTACATGCTAATGCCATGTAGAAATTACCTCACATAAGCTGTCAGCATACACCTCCCTTGCTTTCCAAATGATAAAAGAGAGGCACGAACACAGCACCTCCTCTCTGCATGGCCTCCTCAGAGGGCCATCCACCCACTGACTGCTCTGACACACCAGAAATGATGCAAGGGATCACAGGTTTTGGAGCAGAAGGGACTGCGTTAGAACATGGCTGAACGTGGCCTCATTTCATCCCCAACTTGTCTCTTCTCCTTCCCCATCATATAATTTTCCTACTCTTCTTGGAGACTGAGGTAAATTCACAACCAAGTGAGAAGCACAAAGGGCCTGTAAGGAGCAGGCTGCTTTCATTTTGCTGCTATTAACTGACAGATGGCAATTAACACCCACCTCAACGAACAATTACAAAAAATAAAAAAAATCAGGTTAATCATCTCAGTATTTCTTTTAAAATCATGATGGTTTTGGCCCTTGAGTTTCATTACAAGTTCTTTACTCTTACATCGCATCTCCTCTCTCAGTTGCTCACCCAAAGACCTGACCTTCACAACCTAGCAAGAGCAAACCTGAGGCACCTCCTTCCCTCTCTTCCTGCCCCTACTATTTTTTTCCTAGAAAGTCCAACAGCCCTCTTCTTCTCAGGCTGCAGGCAAGGAAGGGGTGAGCTGAAGAGGAGCAGATACCATTTAGCATTAGGAAGAGTCGTTTTTCCCACTCTCCCTACCTCAGAAAACCTGAGAGGAGAGGAAGGGGTGGGGAGGCAATGGCAAATTGAGCTTTGCTCAAACGCATGGATGTGGCTAACAGCTCTCACTGCTGTCTTCCGCACCCCAGCCTCTGTTGTGGCTACCACTGAAGGTCTTACACGAGCTGAGCCTGCCTATTTTCTGACCTATGTGAGGCCTCCCCTCTCTATTCCAGTGAAATCATCAAACAACACTGGCTGCCACAAAGCAGGAAACAGCACTGGGGCCACTGGCTCCCTGTGAGGCAAACAAACAATTTTATACATTCAGTCACAAAACACCGAGAGAACAATTCTGGATAGTTTCACAACACTAACAACAACAACAACGAGCCATTCCTTTCTCAATAAGCTTCTTGCTGTATGAGCCTCTGACATAAGTAAGGGTCAGTTCACCAACAAAATTAAGCTTATTTTGGACAACAGAATGGCATCTGGGTGTTCTCATAATAATACCCTGGCTGTGCTTGAGAAAGAAAGAGAAAATAAAATAAATACCTTGGTCTGACTTCACAAGCAAAAGGGCCCCCAAGCAAAGGCAAGACAATAAAGGAGCATGCAGGAGATACAAGGCTACTTAATGCCACTATTTACGTGTTAAAACTTGCTGTTCCAAGGCATCACTTACATATCTGAGCAAAAACATCTAGTTTATAACCAGCCAGGAACAGAGGCAGTCCTTTCCAATTGTTTTTATACCAGTGTTAACAATAAAGGTTTTCTAATTTCATGAAGCCCCTCAGTCCTGTCACATCATACACAGTGAAGTTACTGTGAGAAGATTTATGAAAGATAAACTTCTGTCCCCTAAACACAGCTGGTCATTCTCATATTGGAACAGTTCTGAAGAACAACCGTTAGAAGAGTTCTTCCTTGAGAAGTTTGTTTCTCGTGCACAGTTCACTAAGTTCTACTGGCTGAAGTTTGTTTTCCTTGTTTACAGCCATAGAGCCAAATGAGGTATGGGAGAGTTAGCCCATTTCTATTCTCAGCTTGTGCTTTGAATAGAGTTATTAAACTCTGCTTCAGCTGGATGCTATTCTGGCTCTCCTAATCAAATGGAATGCGTAACAAAGCTGTGAGCACAGCATCCAATTTTCATATGTTAGCTCTAGAAGTTCCAGCTCAATATCCAGATTTGGGATTGAACCTAAAGATGGACGGGATTTGGGAGAAAAGTGAACCCAGAGGAGCCCTGCTGCCATCAAAAGTAAAAAAGCCCCATAAATCTCTACATCTGCAGAAGTGGACTGAAGTTAATTTTGAAGTCCCTGAAGACCAGCTCCTCAAAGAAGTCTACAACGATATGTCACCAGACACTATGGAAATGTGTTAGAAAGACCGAAAGAAAAATCTTTAATGGATTTTTAACATTGAATTTGTGAACGTAAAAAAAGTAAATAAATCCCAATAGCAAAAAAACCCACAACAAAACAGAATCAGCCCCACAGTAACTGCTTAGTTTCCTACCACAGACTCCTCCTCACTCACACAAACCAAACCCATGCACAAATAATGTCCTGCACCTTAACCTGGTCATTAACTCCTAAGTGATCTGTACATAAAGCAGCATGGGAGCCAGGTACCTTGTTCAACACTCCATGTAGTCAGGTGATTAGTCACCACAAAAAACACAAGCTAACTTAATCCAGGCATGATTAAGAGATGAAGCTGTGGGTGTATCCTCTTTGAAAGAGCACCACAGGTTTTCTGAAAAGCTCTACTGCAAGAGAAAGAAAAGATGTTTAAAGAGAAATGCCAAAACAAAACACTGAGAAGTCTCAGCTGGTGAGTGGAAGAAAAAGCAGAGGATGGAGAACTGGTTTACTATGACAAGCTCCTTCCTGGCATGGGATTGGTACTACTTCCAATGTCAGCTGATGACAGGAACCTTAGTAAGTAGGAAGGATTTTGGTGTACTTGTACAATGCGATGAAGACAAAGGTGGCAGTAACTGCATTAAAGAAAACAGATCCCATAAATGCCATGAAGATTCAGCAAGGTGAGCTGGAATTCAAGAATTTTCCCCAAACGAGCTAAAATATTGTGCTTCTCTAACTGTGACTACCTGACCTACTGCAACTCCAGTGAGCAGACTCAGCCATACTGAATGCCCACAGGTCACAATAAGAAGAAAGATGAACATATTCTGCCTGTTTGGCAAATATCAGGAAGAGGGGGATGTGTGTGGGGGGGTGTGACAGTGTGAGTGACACTGCGCAACCTCACACACTGCAGAAGAGAGCAAACCTATTTATGTGATACAATTCCAGATTTGGAAGTCTTACTCCAGACACCCACATTCAAGAAACATCCTGGGCCTGTATGCTTACCTCATCAGTCTGCCCTTGCTAGCTGTTCTAAGCTTCTTTCCTGCTCATTTTTCACTTCTCACCCTCTCTACTTTCTCCATAAAGAAACTTCCATGTCGCTTACTTGGGAGACAAAAAGTTAGTTCAGAAATTCAGGGTCTTCCTCGTGGTCCTGAAACTGCAGTGACACAGCAGAAGACTGGCCTACTTAAACAGCTTCGAGATAGAAGGGGAAATCTTAAGTCTGCACTGACCTGTCACATCCTATCTGAGGTAAAATCTGCTTTTAATAAAAGCTTCAGGGGGCAGCACAAGCATTTTGCAAGAAGCAGATGTTTGGATGACCAGAAGTCCCAGAGCTCCCAAACTCTGTAGGCCAGCAGGCAAAGCCCTTCAAAGGAACTGCTGCACACTGCTCAATTCCACAGGCGCCTATACCTCAGAGCTCAGAAGGCTCAGTTTCATACAGAATAAATATAGCAGGAAAGAAATGCTTCGTGTGGAATGGTAAGAGGGAACAAAGAAATTAAGGATGGTAATCATGATAGCCAGCGTACTCCTGCAGCTCTCTCTGGCAGTTCCCACCTCAGACTGTAGCTTACTTTTTTGCTTTCCATAGGAAAATGTTTGTATTTAAAATTTTAAGTTACTTAAATAAAATTTGATTTCAAGAAAATGGAAGGGAATATGCATGTGCAGGAACAGATGCTATGCTAAGCTACCAACTCAAAATACAGCATTTCTTCAAATACCTCAAAGCGTCACAGGCAGTCCAGCGTGAGGCATTTAAGTGCAAGATCAGGCAGGGTCTATTGAAATGCAGACCACTTTCCTTGGCAAAGTTTTAAGCCTTCCAAGGGGAAGTTTCCATCAGTAAAGAAGTACAGGATCACAGATACTGTGAGGAGACTGGAGTCATGGAAGAACATTACTCAGACAGTACAATCCAAGCATTCTCCTTGCTAAGAATTATGATTCCCCCATCCCCACCCCACCCCCTTCTACTCTAATGCATGCCTTCTCTGCATGTTGTTTACCTTGGATCTCCCAGTGGCATCCAAGAACAGAATTTGCCACTAATCAAGGTCCATTTCTAGCTCAGTTCTGTCCAATTCCTGTGTCCTGGGCCTGTGCCAGTATCTTGAATATCTTTGCAGTGCCAGGCAATGCTTCAGTTGTCTTACTGGCCCCTCCTTCCAGGGAAGGAGAGTCAGATTTCAACCAACTATCATCACAGATTCAGGGCAGCATTTGTCATTAAGCCAGAATTTGGCAGAAGATAGGAACACCCCACTTTCCATAACACATTTCTCACACAGCACAGACGAGCCTGGAAATATTGTTTAGACAGAGTGGTACGCCTCGACTATGCTGGGTTTCTGGGCTTTTAACAAAGACATAATGAATTTAGTTAGCCAATTTAGATTTCAGACATGCGTTTCAGTCTTTTCTGTATGACCAACAAACAGAGAAACCTCTGCTGTCTACATGGACCTGCTGTGCTGCACAGCCTTACTTACCACAGAGAGGCAAATACGGTTCTGAAGTCCTGACAGCAGGCCCCAGGGAAAACAGCACTGGAGTGAAAGTCTTAAGAGGCTGGAGTTATCTACACAGGTAGGATCCATCGTCTCTCAGTGCTGCATGAAGAGAGGGAGGAGGAAGGTGGGAAGAGCAATGCAGAGAAGTATCTTTATCCGAGGGATATCAATTGCAGAACAAGGCAGCAGGCTAGAGACCTAGCTCTCTTTCCACCTCCACATGCCCTCTCCCCACAAATGCAGCTGCTGCCACTTAGCAGCATAAAAGCCAAATTGTTCAGCTTGCTGTTTTGACATCTAGGAGGGGAGTCTTTGCCAGGGAAAGGGCTGTCAGTTTTTCAGATGGACAAAGCAATGACAAACCCACCCCCTATGCTGCCTTTTTTTTTTTTTTTTTTTGCGTATCTGAAAGGGGAAAGAGGAGAAGAAAAAAAGGTCTCTGTAAACATTCTGAGATGTTTTGGATTTTTTTTTTTCTTAAGGGATAAAATAAGCCCTCCCTAGCCCCACTCTAAAAGCACTAGATTTGGGGAGCACTGAAAATGGAGATTCAGAACTGCGCACTCCGGTCTCGGAAGAAGCCCTCAGCCACTTGTGCTTCTCTGAAAGTGACGGTAATGGAGTTTGCCGTGATGTCTGTCACTGTCACTTCGCTGGGGGGAACAGTGGGAATCCAAGGGAGATTGCCATCCACATCTGCTACAAAAGGAGAGGCAGACAGAGCATGTTAGTGAGAGGAAGAGAAGGTGGGAGAGAGAGCAAAGAGGAGGATGGAAAAGGTGCCTCGTTTCTGACAAATGGTGGATGAAATCAGCCTGTATTCAGTCTGCACACACAAGGCAAGAAAGGGCATGGGCAAGCCCTCCCTTCAGAGGCTAAGGAAAAACTGAGGATCACTGCAGATTATAAAGGGAAAAGCAGACGGTTGTAAGGGTGTTCAGACAAACACCAGCATTGGAAAAGCCTGCATGGAGATCGACAGGATGAAGTAACAACACCCAGCACCTCCAGTCATCCATAGTTCCCCAGTGTCTCCTGTGCCTTCTCAACCCATGTGCTTCTGTATCAGTTAAACACACTCAGAGCAAGCTGACCTTCTTGCAAATGTCTTACACTCGAAAAGTCAAAAAACACAAGCTCTTAGATCCTCTCATGAAAGGGATCCAGAGTTGAGAGTCTTTTTCATACTGCATCTGTAATGCGGCCTGGCCACAGAACATGAGTATTATTTCACAAAGAGGCTGCTCTCCATTTCTCATGTTCTTTCTTTGCTCCCTGATAGCTCCATAAGAAACCAAAATATTTCTGCACTTTGGCACTAATAATTAACAGTCCCTCTCCCCACTTAAAACTTCACCATCCCTAGCTTTCAGAGACAGCCACAAAAATAGGCAGAGAAAGGAAGTAAAACATACCCTCCCTCTGCCACTGTACCTGCATTGTACCTTGTTACCTCAAGCTGTGCAAAGAATATGGGAAATATGCTCTTAAAAGGTTATTTATGGCTTCTTCTTGTCACACTTGAGGTGTGTAACCCTAACGCTAACGAGAATTCCACACATGCCATGTGTCATGGTGAGAACAAAAACCATTTTATTTATATCCAGTGCCATTCACCCTTCAGATCTCCAAATGCCTTAGAGGCTAGCACTTCTAGCTGAAAACAGCCCCATACATTTGCCTGCTGCCAGTATGTGACTCTGGGTTCCTCTGTGCTTGCCCCACTGCTTCCTCCTTGGATTTCAGGTGCTGTTCTAGTCTGAAAGAAGAGGGGATAATGCCGATTCCCTAAACACAGAGTTCTCCCCAAAATCCTGCCTAATCCAGCCTGGCTAACAACTACTCCCAGCAAGGAGTAACAGGAATTAGCAAGGAGTAACAGGAATTCTCTTAACTACTACAAGCAGCACAAGCCCTTGTTTTCCACTCCTCAGGAAGCCTTACGCCTTCAGAAGCTCTAATAATGCAAGGATAGAGTTTCCCTGGTAACTCAGAGCAACGTACACATCCCACAGCCCTCCTGCACAAGAGGATGGCATCCCTCCCCAAAATGCCAAATGTGCCAGGCCATCTCCCATGCCTATACTCATGCTGCCTACTCAATGGGATTAGACAAGACTTACCATCCTCACTTATCTCTCATCCCCCTCTCACATAAGCTCTACAGCAATGGGCTTCAGAGAGGATGTGGGGTGTGAGGAGGAAAGGGAAGGAGGGGGCAGAAGGAATGTACTGTGGGTTCCTAAGAACATTCCCGTTCGCTCTCAGAGCAGCACGAGTAGAGGAGTGCCTTCCCAAGACTAGCCAAACTCCTTTTACAACAGGAAAAAACACAGGCAGGTGTGTGGACAGAGGTCATTGTCACCTCTGCCAGAAGGAAACTGGAACACAGCATTAACTTCTAGTAACTTCTGCATATTTTCTAACACTGGGAGTGGTGTCGCTGATTTAAGACTACAGAGAGGTAACAACATTCAAAAACTACAGTCATCCAACCAGAAATCTGCAGAAATGAAAGCCACAATGTGAGCCAGCAAGAGATGCTCTGAGGATCTGACCTCAGTCACAATCCCAGGATGAGGCAAGTAAGGAGGCAGCACACAGAGCATCCTTCTCATATCCCAGAACTTCGCAGTCAAGGGGTGTCTGGCCTTACCTTCTTTGCCGGTGTGCTGCACAGCCTCCCAGTCCTCAGGGCTTTGCTGGGCCTCCAGGTCTACTGCGTCATTCAAGAAGAACTCATGCCTGCAGTTTCGGTTCTCCAGGCTTGCCATGCGGGGGAACTTCTTCCTTGACAGTCGCAAGTACTTCTGGTTTTTGCGTTGCTTCCGGAGAGAGAATGGCAGGACTGTTCCCCCAGTCTTCTCTGAGAACTCTGCCTGCCCTGTCTTGGCCCCTGGCAGGCTACTGTCTCCTCCTCCAAACCTCCGTGCAAGAGAGAAACAGAGCTTTTCCTTTCCCTTGTGGGCACTCCTCAAGTCCATGCCATACAGCCGCTGACAAGAACATCAATACAGCAAGGTTCAGAATGGGAATCTGACGATGTAGTCATCAGGGCTCTCATGGGCCAGGAATCTATTCTTACCTGAGCATCTAGGTGACCTAGGAGAAGTTGTGGTGCTCCTACAACACTGTTTCTCTCATCTCTTCACCTGCAATCTAAGCTCTTCCTTACATACTTTGCCTAAGACTGGTTGCTTTGCATGGCAATCAAAGCATGCTGGAAGTCCACTTCCAATCAGCTACTACCTTTCACATGCTGAAAAGTCCAAGCCCAGTTTAAAATGAAAAAGATCATGTCAACCAGGCAAGATCCTAGTTCAGAGAGCAAGAGCTGTTTCTTGTGCTTTTGTGTCTTTTTTTGCTGTTTTGTTAGTTGCTGTTCAGCTAACAGGTTAAAAGTACCTGCCTACTTCACTGAGTTCAAGTTCTTGCATTAGCATTTTATCTCCAGTTTTGTTCATGCAACAGCGAACGGACAGTTTCCACCTTCCTGTGAGCAGAGTAGCAGCACAGCGCTAACTAATTAGAAATGTACAAAAGAAAAGCAAGAAGCTACCTGCAATAGGAGGCGCTTTGGTTTGGGACCTCTTTTTCTGTACCCTGAAGCACGGTCTCTCTCTTCCCTGTGAAGGATGAACACAAATCAAACAAAGCAATAAACACCACAGCACAAAGCCTAGCCAGGACTTCCACCTTTTGCAGAGCTCCCTCATTTCCTCTGTTAAAAACCAACTGTGAATAGCGTGGACTTGGAAAGCATCCCAGAACTGCTTCTTGCAGGAGTGAAATTCTTGCAATACAGGAACTTCTCTGATTTAACTGATCAAGAACGGGCTAAGGAAACTTATCACCTCCCATCACTCCAGTCCAGCTCTGGACCCAATTAAAACCTGAGAACAATTGTTCTTTGGCTCAATGCTTGTGCTTGGCCTCATTTTGCCTTATCTGCCTCAATCAAGGCCAGGTTACAGAGATGGAAAAGGACTCATTGCTATGTGTCTCATCTTTGATTGAAGTGGGGACACCACAACAGAATAAGGACACTATTTCCTGCACCCAGTGAAAGAAAAGAACACACACACTTACTTTTCTTCGTAAGCCACTACCAGGCGAGGGTCCAAGATATGATCTTCTGGCTCCCATGTGCTGTATCTGAAGAAAAACATAAGGAATATAAAGTAAACAACGCTTTAATGAAACATTCCCTCTGCAGGACTGTTCCCAGTGTGCTAAAGGCCCTGGATATCGTCTTCACAAGGCTCGGGGGGCCTGCCACAACACTGCTAGAGCTCTGACGAATTCTAGCCATTCCCCCCCAAACTTGCTGCCAGATGTCACCTCCCCTTCCACCAAACTGGCAGAGCAGCACTTTGTAGAAGAGCAGGGAAGGCTTTCCTCCCAGGGCTCCCTTCACACTATTTGCAAAGCCTGTGCAGAACCACAAACTAGTCTTAAGGCAATGCATAAACAGGTCGCATTTGCAGGACTCCCAGAAATCCAGCAAATATATGGGACAATGAGATGAAATCTGATACAGCTTTCTGAAAAATAGGTCTCTCTTAATTTAGAGCGCTCAAAGATTAAGTATGCTTTCTTCCCTGCATTATTAATTACCTCTAATCACTGGAGCCAAAAGTATTTCTTCAAGAAGAGTTTAATTTTTCTTCACTGTTGCCATTCAACTGAACCTGTTTAGATTTGGGCCCTGAGGCAAGTTGATGGCAACTATCCAACTACTGCTCCTCTTACTCAGCTCCCCCTGCAGGTTATTTCTGCCTAGCAGAGGTCACACAGGAGGAACCCACCTGCACTGTGGTTAGGGCTACTGAAACTGCTTAAAATGAACTCGATGCTCTGAAAGCAGCCCATGAACAGTGTCACTCGCTGCTCCCTCTTCCTCCACTACCAGACAGCTACAATGGAGCCAGCTGTTCAGGAAGGGGCTGAGGCCAAACAGCAGGCCACACCAAAACCTGTTCCCAAGGGGCATGGCTGTGGTTAACACCAAGGAGAAGCAGACAAAGATTCCCATGGTGAAAGGTTTCTGGAAGATGAAAGAGTCACAAGGCAGTCCCTGCAGTGGGTTTATTCTAAGGGCCCATGGCTGCCAAGAAAAGATGGGCAGCATGTCTTCATTATGCAAACTCTAAAGCAAGAAGGCAAGACTGACATCCCAAATGCCTCAGAGCATTCAGTTTCCAGGCACCGTGATGTCCAGTATCTCAAAGCAGAGCTTCTCCAGCCCCTGGAAAGGGGGACAGACAGGAGACGTGTACAAGGGGCAAAGGTGCACTTGTAGCAGCGCCTTTAAACTCAGAGAAAGCATTTTAGGATGCTTACATTTCTGGATGAAGCACAGTCTGCAAATGGGAACATGTGGCACACGTACACAGGAAGGTGGATTGCTTTTTCCTTTCATCTACTCATGAACTAGAAGAAAGGTACTGAAAGACAAGAGAGTTCCTGGAGAATGGTTCTATAAATGAAGGTAAAGGTTTGTTTGTTTGTTTTTAATACAAAACTGAGAAGCAGAAATATAGAATTCAGATATCCCTAGGTGCACTGTGTATCAGAGGGTTAAGAACAGACATGTCTTCATAACCAGCTGATCCCTCCCTCTCTCCTTTGCCCAAGCCTCTTGCAGCAACCTGACTGTGAGCTGTCAAAGCCAAGATGCTGTTTGAACAGAGGAGGGTTTCCTCCCAGCTGCAAGGATTCTGGCACTCATTCTACAAATTTCAGAAAAATGATAAAGCAAAGGAGGGGGGAAAAAAAAAAAGACATCAGATCGCTTTTCATGGGCAGAAGAAGAAAGATTTGCTTTTTTAAAAAAAGAAAGAAAGAAAAATCCTTGATGGGTGTTGCCTTTTTCTCTGCAGCTCAATTCCTGGCTTCACTGCAGTGGCAAAACACTGCATATAAAAAAAAAAAAAAAAGGCATGGTTCAGTTTGCCACACACTCACACACACACAGAGCTATATATACGGGCACACACAGCCCAGGCTGCAGCAGAACTGCAGAGAGCAGGCACTCTGGAAAACATAGATCATATGATCCTCCTTCCCCCTCCTTCTACTCCTCCTCTTCCCCCTCCCCTCTTAACTCCAACACAAGTTGTAAACAAGCTTGTAGCTAGAATCAGGCTGTCACTCCTTCATTCCCTGACTCCAGCAGTACAGTCCAGGAATCTGAGGAATAGGGCATTAACACTTTTTGTGTGTAAAATATCAAATAAATGTTAAAGCAGCAAACGTCAGTCCTACGCTTGCTTTTTTCCATGAAGCACTTAGTGGGAATCACAAGATAACTGGTACAGAGATTATAAAGAACAATGCAACAAGGTTGGGGAGGGGAATGAAGAAAAATATGATGTGGGACGAGAAAACAGCAGATGTTGGAAGACAAAGATGCAAACAGCTTGTGGGGTGTTACATGCCATCACAGGCATGTTTATGTTTAGAAACAAGGAACATAGACTGCTAGCAGGATGAAAGTAGCTTGCATGCTCAAAACATCTTGGTTTTAAGCGAATCAAACTGCTGTATCAACAGTTTAAAAAAAAAAATCAGTGTTCTTTGAACTTGGAGTGTGCGTGAAGAAGGTATTCAGACTTCTCACAACATCAAAATAAGGAAACCTTCATATTCTCTTGCTCTCTGGGCATAAGCTGTGCTTTTAATTCCCAAGAGTTCCTGGTTCCCCTACAGTTCCAAGGTATAGGGCAAGAAAAGGCAGCAGCAAGAATAAGGGCTGCTCTGTCAAAAGAAATGTGATACCAAATCTCACTCCACCTTCTCTCGCAATGTCATTTGCCAAAAAAGATCTTGCTGTGTTTGCTCCATAAATATCAGTATTCCAGTCAAAGGGGACAGTGCCTCACAGACTACAAACATTCCCAACCTCTGATAATGATTAAATTAGGTGTAGCTACTTAGGAGGGGCAAAGTGGCCCAAGAACTGATCCACATCATAGCTGGTACTCGTTAAGAGCACTAGGTTACAGCAATCCAACAGCAGGATTTACAGTCAAGAAAACAGTCATCTCAATTTGACTATCACCACCAGACAGGGGAAGCTACTTATGTATGTCCTGTAAGCACAAGGAATAGGCACACAGAAACACATTCCACCTTCTTAAACATGAGGTACAATCTGTCAGGATCACATCCAAACACCTAAACATCCAAACATCAGGATCACACCCAGCATTTTGCAACTACAAGGATGAGCTAGCAAAAGTTCCCCTTTGCTCAGCACCATCCAGGGCAACCAGATACACACTGCAGTCACACCCATGCACACTGGGTACCTACCCACAGTTACAAACAGAAAAGCAGACCTCTCTCCCCATGCATAAGAACCATGATGCTGTTCCACCAGGCTGCTAGCTGACACAAAAATGTTCTCCAGTTACCTAATCTTTTTAATCTCAAAGCATGTCACAGATTGTACAGACACAAAGCAATGACTCTTTTTCAGTGGCAGCTGCATTTTAATAAAGAAGATCTGTAAACAGTGCACAGCAATGATGCAAAATATATATATTTTTTTCCTCTTGTGATATGGCAGCCAAAGCAAAGGCAGAGAAGGCACTAAGAACAACAGAAGGTTTCAGACAAGGAAATAAAGGCATTGCAGTAATTTCCAAGGGACAAAGATCATCTCCAGTTGGCTACAATCCATCTGAAATATTGCCCCTTCCATTTTGTGAATTGCAGAGGGGACACAGTAGGATAACAAAGACAAGACTACTGCCTTGTTTGCTATTTTAAAAGACTACATATAGCTCTACAAATAAAGTACAGCCCCTTAGTGCTGATTCAGAAAAGTAAGCACCATTCCAAGCTCTGAAGAATCAAGGTTCCTTGTCAAACTCATACTGAATTGTAAAAGCTTTGTAACTAAAAAGCATCTCAATGAAATAGCTCAATAGAGGCAAAACCCAGTCAGAAGAGGTTGGCATACAGTCTGCATCTTTCAGCTGTCAGAGTGGAAACAATACAGAGTTTTGGTTTGTAGCTCTTTGTTTACAGTTGTCAGAATGAGGCACATGAGGTTACCCGTGAAGAATGGACGCTCGCTTGCAGAGATACAGTGAAGACTATTAACAAATAGTTAAGAAAAAGACAAGTAAACCAACTTACTTTGGGGGCCATCCTTTCCACTTCACCAGGTACTCTACTTTGCCCTGGAGGGGAGAAAAAGGAAGAAGAAAACAGGTGAAGTCTGCAACCAAATATGGGCTATGGTAAGAGAAGCAACCAATCAACAGGACTGAGCAAAGAGCTCATTTCCCACCACTTCATTTTCAAACCACCACCACTTCCTCTTTCAACTATACTTGTGGTACCTCCCTCATGGGCACGGAGGGCTGTTTAAAAGGATGCAAACTCCCCACAGCTTGGGAGCATCGCTGAGAAGAATCATAGAGGCTGGAAGGGACCTCTGGAGATCATCAAGTCCGACCCTACTGCTAAAAGCAGGTTCCCTACAGTAGGCTGGAGCCGGAAAGCATCAGGCAGAACCGCAAACACCAGACTGCAGCCATCCCTGCATTTACAGGGAGCCCTGCAAGAAGTCAGCACACATAAAAGCAAGAGGGAGATGCACGCCGGGAGCAGATGTCAGAGGAATCTGTTCAAGCAGAGAAGATATACAAGACTGAGATCCTATGAAGCGTCACTTCAGCATGTTCCAGCTGCTGCACCAGAGCACCGCTCCATCCATCACAGCCACTCCACCTTTCAACCCAAACAAACAGCTCGAGTTCAGTGTTAACCGCTTATTTGTTCACCCCAAGCACAAAACCAAACAACAAACACACAGCAATTGGAAACTACACGCAGAGGCCCAGAAGAACGTGCACAACCAGCAAAGAAGTCTTTAATATTATACCGCAGGACTTGTTAAAACACTTCCCAGAGCACCTCAGGAGGATGGAAGCGCTGCTGCTGCTGGCACCAAGTGACAGCACAGAAAGCACAGCCCTGCAGCCCGTGTTTTCCAACGGAGGGGCTCCCCGTCTTCCAGATGCTTGCACACACCATCCTATAAGGCACTTCCCAACGATCAGATGCATAAGATTAGCCCACCCCCCCAGGGACGGGGTTCTTCCACTCAGGGAAACTGAGTCACCGAGCTGAGGCCGAGCCCCCCAACCACCACAGGGTGACTCTCACTCACAGACCCCCCCGCTCCGGGGACACCCCCCCTTCTCCGCCCCATCCCATAGCGGCCACCGCCACCACGCCCCCCGCTCCCGTGTGAGGAGGGAGGAAAAGAGGCGGGCCGGGCCGGGCCGGGCCGGGGGGACCCCTCTCGCCCACCACGCGGCCCACCTTCCGCACACGCTTCTTGCGGATGCTCTCCACCGCGAACACCTGCTCCCCGATAGCCGACAGCTCCATGGCGGGGGAGGACAGCGGGGCCGAGGCCGGCGGTGCCCGTCGGCGGCCGTTGGCGGCCCTTGCCCGCCGCTCCCCCTCCCACGCCCCCTCCCCCCGCCCCGCTTTAGAACCTGCGCAACGTTTTCCTTCGGCGCGCGCGGGGAGGCGGAGCCTCGCGCTGGGCGGGAACCGCCGGAGGGGCCGCTCCCGCCTCCCGCCTCAACGCCTCGGCTCCCTCACGGCAGCCCCCGCGCTGCCCGCTCCCCTCGGTCGTTTACGTGACAGCCCTGAATTTGGGTAACGGCGGCCCGAAACGTGCTTCGGGCTCTGTACCTGCACAGACCCAGCCTGCTCAGCATCTCCAAGCGAAGAGCTTCGGAAAAGCCGTAGCCAAACCCCTCTGGGTTGCGCCCGCTTTTAATCCTTGTGCGAATTATAGCAGAGCAGAACTGAGAAATGGGGGACACTGTGTTCTGCTTGATGGTTGGACCGGGGGGTCTGAGAGGTCTCTTCCAACCTTCATGATCCCGGGTTCTATTGACCATGTTGGGATAAAGGGGAAGAAAAAAAATCCCGCCTTTGCTGCACAAAAGCTTGAGGCTGAATCCTTTATGGATAGCTGCTGCACTTGGTAGTTTAGGACATTTACATCCTTATATTGAATTTCTGCCGCCTCAAGCTCAAACATCACATATTTTCAGTATGAGAGAACGAATACTGAAGGCATTCTCCAAACGAAGTATTGGAATCCACATCCTCAGTACCATCGGGCAGATTTCTACATGATCATTCCCTTCGTCCTTCCTGCTTTTCCCATTCTTCACCTCACTCCAACAATTGTTCCACATGTGGCATAAGCAATATTCCCATCACTTGTATCACACTCTTCACATGGGGTGAAAAGCAAGAATCCTCCCACCTGTCCCAAGTCATGAATGGCCGCTAAGTGAATGTTACTCAGCCTTTTATAGGGACTAAAAATAATGATGACGAACAACTCAAGCAGCCCAGTCTTTCAGATCTTACAACCTTTAAACGCCACTCTGTGATAAAAGATCTTTTTAAAGTGTATCAGGAATTAGATTACCAAAACCTTCACTGGAATTGCTATGACTAATTGTACAGCTGCACTAACACATAGAAGGGAACTCAATGCACGGAAAACCAAAGCAAATATTGAACCTTCCTTAGTACAAATCCAGAGACACAGATCCAGGAGCTTTTAATCAAAATTCCAATTAACTTCAAAGAGTTTTACTTGAGTAAAAACTGCAAGCAGAATCTCGTACAGAGGAATTACCATTTTAATTGCTACTGGTTTGATTAAACGACTCGGCTTGCAGTAGATACAGGCACTTACATTAACACTAGAAATTTATTAATGGTCATTTAGATTCTATAAAGCCTAATTCTGCCGAGGTTTTTGTTTTTGTTTTGTTTTGTTTTTTTTTCAGAAGAGCGCAGCAAAGATTAGCACAGCTTCAAAAGAGCTCAGCACATCCCAGAAGGACTGAACAGTGATAGGACAAGGGGGAATGGTTTTAAACTGAGACAGGGGAGGTTTAGGTTGGATATTAGGAGGAAGTTTTTCACACAGAGAATGGTGACGCATTGGAACAGGTTGCCCAAAGAGGCTGTGGATGCCCCATCCCTGGAGGCATTCAAGGCCAGGCTGGATGTGGCTCTGGGCAGCCTGGTCTGGTGGTTGGCGACCCTGCACATAGCAGGGGGGTTGGAACTAGATGATCATTGTGGTCTTTTTCAACCCAGGCCATTCTATGATTCTATGAGTGCTGCTTGATGTAGCTCCAAGAAACAACAGTGCAGCAGGAGCAGGATGCTGCCATTATTCTGTAATGCCAGGGGAGCTAGCAGCCATGGGAGTCATGCTGCCAATACTGTTTGCAATGTATCACTGGCTTGACTGGTAAACCGGTCTATTGCTCTGCTCTGCTGTGTGTTTAATTATCAGTAGATGGCACTCGTTACGCTGCTTGGTCTGTTTTATACACAGGTTGTGCTTTTGGTACGCAGCCTCATAACGCATCGCAAAAATAAAGGGCAGCAAAAGGACAAAGTCAGTGCTGCGCCGGCCTCTGAGTCCAGCCCAGTCAGAGCTGAGTTGGCTTGGCAAATGTAGGGTGTGCTGAGTGTCAGCAGTTAGACTCCAGAAAAGCTACCCTATGGGAATGGGAATGCTTGTATTGATCAGTGCTTTTAATGCTATAGGTTTGCTTAAAGCTTGTGGAAAGAATGCAGCTGCCCTCTGCTGCCAATTGTCAGCCCCTTGGTTTACCCAGAGTCTCACATCAGCCGCCAGCAAATGACATGTTTAAAGCTGCACTTTTGTTGTGTGTGCCTCACCTTGCTCTGATTCTCTCCCAGCTCAGGGAGAGAATTTCCCAGAATCAGATGGCCAAAAAGCCAGAGCCCCAGCACAAGGTGCTGTTTCACCTTGATTCTATGAGCACCTAACAACTTTCTGCTTCAGCCTTTCACCATTAGATCAGAGCACTCAGCATTTCCCTTCCATTGTGGCCATGCCTTGAGTGCAGCTCTGAGGTGCCAGGAGTGCCATCTAAATGGGATAGCAAGCACCAAACCCCAGTCTGTGGTCCTCTAAACAGGGGAGATGACAACTTGGTGGACCACTCAGCTTTCCTGCATGTTGGCTCACACCTGGGTGCAACTGCAAAACATTCTTAGGCGTTTCTTCCTGGACTTCCTCAAAGAGCTCAGCTAGTTCCTAGGACAGGGTCAGTGCCAGAAGTAGCAGCTACTTTTTGTCTTTGAACATGCCGCTGAAAGAGGATCTGTTGTTTTCTTATCTGTTAAACTGTAGCTCAGCGGTTACAGCACACACTCAGTAATGCTAGACATCAAGGTCCCGTCCCTTTTCTGTCTTTGAGACCATGAAATCCCATCTTTGGGATTATTGTCTATCTTGAGAGTAAGGGGCATACAATCACCTGCTGACGTTGTCCTTGATACAAGTCACACTCAGAACTCACTGGTCCAGGGAACAGGTAGGTGTATAACACAGCCCAACCTCACAGCTATTTTCCTGCGCAAGAGATCCGTGTACTGGTATTGGTCCCAATCCCTGGCTGCATGCATGTGTTGTCCAGTGACTTATTCATGTAAAATACGTAAATGGGTCCTTGTGAAGGTGCTGAAACACCTTCCAAGATAAACACTTTGCTGGAGAATGGTGTTCCTTCTCCCTAGGCTGCTCTGAGCGCTGAATGCTTCTGTGTTGCATCAGGTCTGAAGTGCACTGCTGTGGTACACCAAAGTACACAGTGCTGATTGCTCCCTTCTCAGGAAGCTCAAGTGGGATTTTCAGTGCTCCGAACCCTAGGACTGAAGCATGGGTGGGCAAGGGAAAATAAGTGCTTTGTCATTTTCCTTGTTTGCTCACTTTTGTGGGTTTCCATAAATACATATATTTGTGATTTCAATTGAGTTTTGTTGTTTCAATGAATTTGAACTTTGTTGTTTTAAGGAAATGCACATGGACATATAAGCTTCTCATGGCAGCAGCATTCCTGCAGTCCACCTGCACTGTAGAGCACCCTCTTTTCAGAGGACATTTTACATGAAAAGCAGTGCACATCCCCATTCTCACACTGGGAAGAGGCCAGAACTGTGATGCTTACTTTCTACGAGCTCAGGCCCTCATCTGGAGGGTGCAGGCTGTGATGGGATTGGCACTTGTTCTCAGAGCCAGTCTTGGGCCAGAAGAGGGCACTGAACTGCATCTGAGCTGAGCCCTGGAGATACAGCAGGTAGGAGGTGACCTTTATCCACATTTCAGGCAAAAAGTGTTACACGTCCCCTGCCGTGCCATGTCACACCACCCAAGAGTCCTTCATGCCACCAGGAGTGCAATTAGGGTTTGCTCTCCTTAGCTGAAGCTCCTACTCCCTGGGCCAGCAATAAGTTTTGCATTGAGCTGTCATATACAATAAAAATGAAAATAGCAGGGAGCACAACAGGCAATCACATCTCCCAACCCCTGCTGAGCATCCAGATCACCAGACTGAAGTGATTTCTCCCTCCTAGACACTCTGTGGCCATAAACCTTCCATCCACCGTGGGTGCCTGGGTAGCTTCCTCGGAGCCGCCAGGGTAGAGCAAAACGGGCTAACGACTTCCTTAATGGAAGGAGATCCTTCACTGGAGATGGCTGAGAGGCAGGGGGAGAGCCCTCAGGAGGCCCTTGCAGCCACCGCCTGCTTTTCACGTCTCAGCAGATGCTCGTTAGGTGGCACTGCAGGCTGGGATTTAGGGCGAGCGCAGTCTCCCGAGGCTCGGAGCAGGGCTGTGCAGGCTCTCCTCGACTCAGTTGCGTGTTTTATCGCCAAATACTCGGGAAAACTTGAAGCCCGCGGCAGTGTGACTGCAAGGAGCGTCCTGAAGATGCTGCCTTATGCCGCATCTGACCCATGGGGCTGCTTTGGCAGGAGACGCCCCACATTTTGAGAGTGTACCTCCTCCCCCCCAAACACCCAGAGCCGAACCAGGGAAGGGAAAGTGACTCCATTCTCCTACAACCGTGGGAGCCACTTTCCTCCTCACCTCCTTGGCATGGCCTTGGGTAAATGTTTATCCAGGTTTCCAAAGCCAGGCAGCACATAGGCAGGATCTCAGAGCGCTTCCCTCACAACATTTGGCAGAAGAGTTTTAAGGCTCTCCCTGGGGCACTGCCAGCTAACCCTGGCCTGGTAAGAGCATGTACCCTGGCTCTACCAAGGCAAACACCAAGGCTGCTCCTGTCCTGGCCAGGACTGTGCAGCTGGGTCCTGCCCCAGCCCAGCACCTGTGCTTCCCCCCCTCCCCACCCCCCTTCACTGTCTGAAGCCGGGAGATAAATGCCCTTGAAATCTGAAGTAACCATGATAATTTGATTTTGAACAGGAAAATGAACTGCTTTTTTTCCCCTTATCTAATTGATTAGGAATGTCAACTATTCCTTTCTGCACACCGTGCGTGCCTCTTATTTATGTAGGAAGCAGCTGGTCTGGTGATTCAGCCAAACACTTTTTTAAACTAAAAAAAAAAAAAAAGCTTTCTTTTTGAGGGGTGGGGGGAAACTATCACTGTATTTCACCACAGGATGAGAGATCAAATCC